TCCTTCCTTCCTTCCTTCCTTCCTTCCTTCCTTCCTTCCTTCCTTCCCTCCTTCCTTCCTTCCTAAAGTTATTTGTTTTTAAGATAGTCTTATGTATTACAGGTTTTCAGGCTTGCTAAATAGCAGGGATAACCTTGAACTTTGCAGTAGGCTGCTGGAGAGACATTCTATCCCTGTCCTAGCCTGACTGCTAAGGAAGGTCTATGACTTTGGAATGACTTCTCTCAGGTTCCAGGTCCTTCCTATACAAATGTGAACAGAGAGGGGAGGAAGAACCCACTGATTTTGTTTTTAGATAGAACCTCATGTAGCCTAGGCTGAACTTAAACTATGTTGCTGAAACTGACCTTGAACTCCTGATCTTTCTATCTCCATCCACTTAGTGCTGGAACTACAGGTACACATCACCATTTTATGTAGTGCTGGGGGTTAAACTCCGGGTTTCACATGTGCTAGGCAAGCACTCTGCCAACTGAGCTGTGTCCCCAGTCCTGAGGGGCTGATTTCTGAGATGGTTTACTATGTAAACTTTATGGACACATTGGCGCACCCAACTAGGGACTGGTTGAAAGTCATCATTGTCTGGTAATGTACATTGTCATGGACCTGTTCATACTCTTCCTCCTCTGTTTCCCCCGCTGCCCCCTGTTGTCTGCACTGCTGCTCAGAAAAGAAAATGGAGGTTCCAGGAGGACTGGGGAAGGGAGCATTTGTCTGTCCTTGTGCTCACTGCCCCCAGCCAGGGCCCCACTGGAAGCTAGGCTGCTGCCTCCCATCTAGGACAGAAATGACTTCCTGTCTTTGAACTTTGTGGGGCTTGGTGATCAGACCATCAGAATCCTCTCAACACTGAGTCCTGCTGCCTACCTGGAGCTCTAAGCTGGCGCACAGGACAGACTGTGAGCAGACTGTCCTGGTGAGACCCCATGAATTCCCACTCCCGCTCAGCCTCATTATGTACCTGGTGAGGCTTTCCTGGGGCCTGTGGTGCTGGACAGGGGCTGCTGGAGATGATTACAAAGCAGTCATTGTTCTCAATGGCCTGACTCATTCCCAGGAGCACCAGGCTCCAGGGGGCGAAGCCATTACTCCTGCCTTGCCCCAGTTTCTGAATGATGTGACTTCCTGCAATTAGCCCGCTTGGTAATATGGGGGATGGGGCCATCAATCAGCAGAGCAGACTAAGCCCAGTCTCCCCTAGAGCATCCCACAGTCAGTAATAATTAGCAGTGCCTTTGTGTTCGTTGATTTGTGACTACATACCTGCCCGTTTGCTGAAAGATTTCACGGCACAAGGAATTAATAAAGAGCTAATTTTAAAAGCTCATTTCTGGGTGTTGGAGATTTATCCTAAACTTGGTAACATTAACCATGCTACTTTACCTTGCTGGGCCTCAGTTTCCCTACCTATGTAGGATGGGAAGAGTCTATCAGCTTTACCTGCTGCTGTGACTGAGTAGCAGTAGGTTACTGAGTGCATGCTAGACAAGCACTCTTCCTACTGAGCTACACCCCCAGATGTTTTCCAAGGACCCTTGAGAAGGGTGTGAGGGCAACTTTATGAACATCGACCCTGTGAAGGCTGGGAGGGTCTTGAGCTGCAGGTAAACATGAATGGTGCTGATGAGTTAGGATAGAATTGTCCTTGGGAGCTCAGGGACTTGATAGCCAGGTAGTCTCCACTCCATGAGGCCATGGAGACACGGGGCAGGAATAGACTGGGGCTGATGCTGATGACTCTTAATGATTGTCCCTTCAATCCTAAGACTCTGATGTTTATGATGCCAAGGACTTGGGGTGTGGTAAGGCTCATCAGACACCCATCCAGCCATCAAGGACCTTGTCCGATCATAATGATACTCAGTCTAGTGGAGAGCACTCATTGTGTTCTTGCTGCATGCATCATCTGGTTTATGTCTCATGAGAGCCCTACAGACATATATTTCCACATTCCTCGGCTTGCAAATGAGCTGAAATTTAGTCAGGGAAAGAAACTTGGCCAGGATTAGAAAACCAGAAGTGGCAGGAGCCACTACATGCTCGAATGGTAATGAGCTTTGATCGACCAGACACTCCAGAACAACACAGACCAGAGTTCAAATCCCAGCTTTCTATTACCACCTTTGCTTATGACAAGTCTTATATCCTGCTTAAGCCTGACTGTCCTCATCTGTGATAAGGAACTGACTTTGTGGTGAGAGTAGGGTGCTTCCCATATGAGGTTGCAGATCAGTGTCCGAAGCACAATAGGTACTTGCTCAGATGCTAAGACATGAAGGTAGAGAGTAGATGTGGTTTGTCAGGTCTAGCACACATGTGATACCCAGAGGGTATCAGAGTGAGCTGCACCCAGGCATCCCTGGTGAAACAGATTCATGAACATATATACTGTTAGCCTATGCAGGCCTATACCAGCACCTGGGGGCCATTCTGACTTGTCCCACAGGAGGTCCTGTGAAATGTCGCTGTCATCATGTGAAGAGACAGAGGTGAAACCATGGGTAGGAGAAAAGAGGGTCATTTTCAGTGTTAGCTTAGCCTTGGCAAAAAGATCACCCAGGGCCTCCATTGGTGAGGGGCATGAGGCCTTCCTGATGTGGGAAAATAATTACTGGGCTAGAAGGCAAGAACCGAGTTATATTTTGGGTTCTGCTCATGTTTTAGGGTCTATTTCTCCTTTGGAAAAATAGGAATGAAATTTTCAGCCCAAACGAAGCTCTGGGATGTCAGGAGTGCTTCAGACGGGGTTGCGCTGAATTTCAGCACCTTGGACAGTGTCATTCACCTCTGCCGGCTACTCTGCCAGATAAGACAACTCCAGCATGGTGGAGGGGCAGGGCAGTAGGGAGAATGCCATGTTAAAGTCCTGGGGTACCTGTAGCCCTGTCCTGGCAGTGTCTCTGAGAGGACGGGGGGGCCTTTCTTTCCCAGTACTCTGGCTAGAGAAATAACTCAGACGAGGGGGATGAGGGGGCAGGCCACGAGGAACCATTCACACTCCTGCAGGCTGCATACATTTTTTTTTAACCTTTCTTTGTGATTCCTCATTGCCACCAAAGGAAATGTTCATCTCTGCTTCTGTCACTCTCCAGTCCCAGTTCATTTGCTGTGTGACCACACGTGACCCGCTTTGCCCCAAACCTGTCTCTTTTCTTTCGTTCTTGCTGCACCCCCATCTTCACTGCATCTGTGAGCCTCCTGTCCAGCTTTCCAGACAATCTCTTTACAAAACTTTCCCTAGAGACGCCTCTCTGCAGGACTCACAATCAACACCCCTTCTGTGTTCAAAGCCCATGACTCTCGCTCAGTCTCCCTCCCTGAGAACAAGGACCTGTCTCCCCTAGCCTCATACCTCCTAAACACCACCCACTCTGCCTACCACATCAA